TGTTAATGATGTATTGTATTCTGAGGCTCGGAGACCTAAGACTTCGGGGGGGATTATTTTTGGTGGGTCGGGCGGTTTATTTTAAACCTAGTTTGCCGGTTTACAAGTGGCCCTACTTCATGCGTCCTTCCGTTGTTTCAGTGGAGTTGGGGTGGCGTGGTATTCAAGGGAGGTGAAGTGAGGGGTGGGTAGGGGTAATGTGTGGGGGTACCGTTCAGAACTGGTTTTCATTGTGTTGCTGGGTGTGCATAGTGTGTGCCCGTGTAGTGGGGTGGGTGGTACTTACCCATGTTAAATAGTTATTAGAAGGTTTGCTTTCTTGAGAAGAGGGTTGGTCGAGGAAATCAAGGGTGAGGGAAAGCGCATTGGACATCTGGTGTATGACCTCCGTGATCTTATGTGTTGTGAGGGGGATATGATTTAAGCCTATCGAGAGTTGTTTCCTGAGCTCGTGATTTTTGACGATGCTGAGGTCCAGGGTGACTACATGTGGGGGCATACTGCCGTCGGAACTGTGTAGAGCATACGGGGAGAATTTGTCCTGCTGACAAAAACATTGCGGTGGCTGCTCTTCATACCAGGAGGGGAGATTGAAGGATTGAAAGACCGCAGAAGGTTTATATAGCTTTCTGGCGATATGGGTGCCATAGGTCCATCCATAGGTAATAGAATCCAGACGGGTGAGGATGTCGGGAAAGTGTTCCGCCAAGATTTCTGAGAAGATTTTCTTTGGCTTGATCCTTCAAAAAGCCTGCTTGTGTAGTGCAAATGGATTAGCCGTTCTGGTGTGGCTGCCCGCCTTCTCCAGCCGCGTCTTCCGTCCTCCAAGATTGCGAGGTGGTGCCCCTGTTATTGTACAAATCTGGTCTCTCGGAAGGATCTGTAGACAAAGAAAGTAAGTCTCTCTTTGATCACATCACTGGTGGGAACCAGAGGAGAAAGAGCCTGGATGTTTACCATACTGTACTTGGGCCTTGATCGGTTCAGATCGGCAGTCACCAGGGATGAAACTGTAACTGTGCAGTTTACAATTGCGAACGCAAGAATAAATCGTGCATTCGATATGACTTCTCCCTTCTGCAGATGAGCTAATCTGAACAGCTAATAACATAACAGCGTACAGTTGTCGTATAGGCTTCGCGCAGGTACCCAGCAGGACCCTGCCCACTGCACCCTGGGTTCAGGACTGTTTAGATTGCATTCCTGCCCTAAATGGGTTTCAGTCAGAGCATAGGTTATGGTTAATGAGTTCTTGTGTCCGACTGACTGGTAACTAGTGGTACTATGCACCACAAGTCAGGGTATCCTTCTTGCTCACTAGACTCACCCCTGAGTATAGTTTACCAGAGCCGAACACAGTAGTTCCCGACCTGCAAACAGCTACTGTTCCTTTTACTGCTCAAGCATGGTTCTAAACCCAAAATCTGATCTGACTCCTAATTCGGAATTTTGATTTGGCCCCAGGCTTAAAATCATGCAACTCTTGACATGTGACTTGCCTGTACTCAGGCTCAAGGGACTGAAACCCCCCTCAACTTATACTTATCATAGTCTCGAGTACCTCCACGTCACCGTCGGACTTTTGATTCTGAGCGCTTAAGGTAGGAGTATATCTGAGGAGCTAGTTGCGTGCAGAGAATAGAGCACCAGCCGTAAGAGGCTTTCCCTTTTGTCAATTAACCCTCACTTAGGAAGATTGATCAACTAGGAACAAATGATGTTCAGTACCCACAAGCCCCGATTGTGACCGAATAACATCTTCTCCTTCGTTCTGTATAGCGTTTCGTGGGAAATACTGCCCAAGAGTCGTACAAAGAATCAGAGAACCCCAGTTCTGTAGTGACTTGGATCATGATAGCATCCAAAGAGGTTTTCAGACGGAAACACACTTTGCGCCAATCAAACTCAAACAGTTATGTAATTACTTAACGATCGTATGATCTCAGGTGTCACGCTTAAGATCTATGTACACTTTTGGCCCGTGCTTCAACAACCCCTTCGTCACTCCCTTTCTCCCACTTCGACTGTAGGGTCAGATATAGCAGAGCTTAAGTGCCCATTCAGACTAACAAAGGCCCTGCCAAAGTGTTTTCAAGACAGATCTACTAAGATCTCTGAGTAGAATAGGGACAGAAAGCACCTTTAAACTACAGCGGCTGTCACGTCAACCTTCCTTCTCTCTCGCTATTGAGAACCCAGATACAATCTGTGATCAAGGTCACAAGCAGGGTTGTCGAGCCCCAGCCCCGGGGCCCCAGCGGGGGTCCGGGGGTCTGGGGGTGGGCACCCCCGACCCCGGCTCCAGACCCCCCCCCCCAAAAAAAAAAAAAACTAATTCAAAAAAAAATCAAAAATAAAAATAAAAAATCAGGGGGGTGCGCAGCGGCAGCCTGCACCCCCTGGGCC